AGCTGTTCCCGCTGCGGGGGCGCTCGGCCCCCGCTGCTCGCGTGGAGCAGGAGCGCAGCGCGGGGCCTGTCTCCCAGCAAGGCTCCCCGTAGCCCAGCCGGTCGCTGCACCCATCCCTTGTGCCGGGGCTGCAGCAGGACAGTCTGTGTTTTCTCCCTTCCCCTGCCGGCCTTCTGCTGTGCTCAGGCTGGTAGGATGAGGCTAGTTGGCCCCTTGGGAGCTGTCTCTGCTCAGTTCGGTGCTGCAGGGTGCAGGCGCCCTGCTGCGCAGGCACCTGGCACTCTGCAGGCTGTCGGGCTGCCGGGGAAGGGTTAACACCCTCTTCCCTTCCCTGAGAAAAACACTGCGTTTGGTGTTTCTCTTCCTCTCCGCTGGTGCTGACATGGCTGGGCCTGTGTCACGAGGGTGCACGCTCGCTGTGTGTGCCTTGGGGAGCAGGGGGTCTCGAAGCGTGTGTGGGAGCAGTGCCCCACGCTCCCCAAAAAGCTCCCCGAAGCACACAAGGGGAGACGGCTCCATTTCACCTGGTGGCACCCTGCAGCTCAAGGATTTAGGGTTTTTTCGTGTCTGGCAGCTGCCATGTAATTAAGCTCAGCCCTCTTGGAGCAAGTCTCGTCTTGCTGACGAGCCTGGCTGCAGCGTGGGACCTGGTGCGTGGGGATCGGGAGCCCTGGCTTCCCGCAGCCGGGGAAGGGGGCCTCACTTCTGCTGGAAAACGGTTCTGCTCCCTGGGGATAGGAAGATGTGCTGGAAAGTGACTTGAACACATCAGTAAGTCGGTCAATGCCCCCAGTATTTTAAGTTTAAGTAACTTATAAGCTGGTCTCATGACTTGGGGTCTGATTCATACTTCCTAGTGTCTGATGCCAAAGATATTAGGAAGTGTTCCAGTTGAGTCTGGAGGGACTGTGTCGCAAGCTTCAGGGTGACACTGACCTTTACACAGGGGTGACTTTTGCAGAGGAGGAAGCTTGTCAGAAAAACCCAAGCAGAGCAAGGACACAGCACGGAGTTTAGAGATTCAATTTCTGTGATTATACTTGCCCCAGAGGCGTGTGACCCTAAACAAAGAGAGAAGCACCTCAGGCAGAAATGATTCTTGGGTCAGTGCTGGTCCGAAAGGACATGATGTCAGCTGGATGGGAGTAAATCTGAAAGAGAAACAGGGCTTCTGCATCCCAGATGAGAGAGACTCGGGAACAGCCCCCGTGGGAAGCACTTTGGGTGAGTCTGGGCCTGCTGGTACCAAATGGGAAGAGCAAATTGAGCAGAGGTGGGAAGCAGTGGCCTGGAGACCGCATGCCTGGTACTGTGGCTGTGATGGTATCTGGGGCATTGAGGAAGCAAAGAAATAGTGTTTGGGCAGAGGAAACCATGGGTCATTGCAGACCCACCTGACCCCTATCTGGCAGGAGCTGTTTGGAGCAGGGAGGTTAGTAGCTCACGCTGGACCTGGTGAAGCACAAGGTGTTTGGCCCTGGGGGACTGGTCGGGAAGCGGGGGCAGATGGGCGTCCACCTGCAGTGCAGGAAGGCCAGGATGGGCCGGCAGGTACGGCTGGTAGGAAGGGTTGAGCCGTGGGGAAGCCTCTGCTGGGTTCTTCTCACATTGCTCTCTGGAGGGACCTTGTTTTGGTATTTTCACGAACGACCTTGATGCGGAGTACAAGTGAGCTAATGAAACTTGATGACAGAGTTGGGAGGCGTAGTCTGTCGACAGGGGTTGGGAAAGCTGCAGGAGTACCGGGGTGACCTTGGGGACAGGAGTTAACAGTGGTAGGATGCTATTTAGCTGTGCGGAGTGAGGGGTCACGTGCTGGAGAACACCAGGAATTTCGCCTGTGAGCTGTGGTGCTTGTGAGCCGGAGGCCAAGGAGGAAGACCGGCACGTACTGCCTGCCAGCCCTGGTCTGAGCTTCCAGGATGACGTGTCAGTGGGGGAGAGAGGCACCTGGCCTCCCGCACAACCACAGGGTGGTATTAATGTCGCCGCACAGATGCGGGCGAGCTTTGTCTGGAAGGGTGCGTTCGCCTCCGTCACCTGTATTTGAGGAGGATGAATTCGGAGGGGAGCAGCTGTGGAGGAGGGCTGCTCAGGCAGGCAGGCAGCCGGTTTTCTCCGGAGCTCGCCCCGGCGTGGTAGGGCGGCGATGGCCGAGTGCCGTGCGACTACGCGAACTGGCGGCTGCCCCCAGCGCTCCCGAGT